GCCCTGGATCGCAGGAGAAGCCAAAAAATGAATATTTTTCCCCCCCCCACCAAGGAGGGGAAGGGGAAAAAAGGGGAAAGAAGGGCAGTTTATTTCCCACTAAACTCCCGCTGTCTGCAGCTGGCTGTAGACAGGACTCCCTCCTTGTTCATTGGTGAGCACAAACTCAACAATGAAATCTGAGCAGGTTCGGGCTGGAGACAGGGCGGCAGGCAAGCCGAGGCTGGAGAGCAGCCAGATGACCAGGTCGAGAGCAAAACGGCCTCAAAGCTTTTCCAACACACACACACCTTGCCTCTGTTAAGGCAGAAAGTGAAGTGTCCCCCGTTTGCAAGGAGAGGAGAAAAAACTCCTTCCCCCTCCCTGCAGGTTTGAAAGGGCTATTAGCCTGGAATGTAGTTCTGCCAGCCAGCTCCTTTGTTTAGGTAATCACCCAAAGCAGAGTGCTGTCCTCCCACTCAACATCCCCCCCCCCAGCAGGGGAAAGAAAAATTCCCATTTGGTTTTTTTTTTTTTTCAGAACAAGTAAACCCATGACAGCAAGTTAAATGTAAGTCAAGGTATGCCCCTCTATTTAGTCCTAGTAAAGGAAGACAATTTTTATTTATTAGCTTACTTCATATACCTTTAAACTCTTTCTGGAATACAAAATACACGTTAATAATTTAATTAGTTCAGGGAAGGAAAAAACTCCACAAACCAAGAACCAAAACCAACAAAACAGAAATCAAGCAAATCAGAATTCCAGTCTTTCACTTCATTAATATTGAGATATTAGAGCATAACCAGTGCACGCTAAGTCAGTGTTGAGGGAAGCCCAAACAGTACAGTTCTCAATTGACTTTATGTCATTGTCATAAAAAAGGTAATAAAAAGTACTCTTGCAAAAATAAAAAGTTAGATATAGGTCTTAAAGTAGTGTAATTGACTGTAAATTTTCCTTAAATTTGCATTGACATCTCATAAAAGTTTCACAAAAATTCTTTTGAACTACGTAATATCTGATGACATACTAGGGCTTAATACTTTGTTCAAGATAACTAGTCAAGTTAACTTTAGAACAGTCTATCTAAGATGCTAAATTAGATGCTTTTCCAAGTGGAAATTCAGTGTAACATCTCTTGGTTCCAACAGAACATGTTTCAGGAGTGTAGACAAAGTCAGATTTGAGTGGACGGATTGACTTCTTTGCTTTAGGAAGAATATCAGGTTTGACTAGCAATAACTATTTCTAGTCAAGAAAAATCTTCAAGGGAATAGTTACTATTTTTTTTTATAGATGCAGGCCTAACTTTTGGGTTCTTTACAGTCTCAAGTCCACAGTATCCTTAAAAACTTCAGTAGAAATATTGCACATTTATATCTGCTGCAGCTGAAGGATATATGGCTGATTTTCCATACATAATGGAATGCTTATGTTGAATTGGTATCATAGCAAATGTAAAGAGTGGAGTGGACATTCACTGGTTCAAGTACACTGAATGTCTCTGAGGCCAATACAACCAACCAGCTGCAGCCACTGATGACATTATGGAGGAAACTCTCCTTGCATTCACTGATGTATTTAAGACTTTTGCTATGTAGATCAAAGGAATCTTTCCTTGTTAAATTATTTCTGGTAAATATTTTTACTGATATATTTAGCTGGTCACAGAACCCCAGAATATTCTGGGTTGAAATGGACCCACAAGGATTATCAAGTCCAAATCCTACGTAAATGGCTTATACGGGGATTAAACCCATGACCTTGATGTTATCAACACCATGTTCTAACGAACTGGTCTGTCTCAGGGTCACTGTTCATAGATTAGTTTGAAATAATTATCTTTGCTGTACATGAAGTATGTTAAATAATTCAAGCAATGGTTTATGAAAACACATGTTGCTCTCTGCCATCCCAGTTTGCTTCAACTGTTTCTTATTTGGCACATTGGTTACACACAATTTAGTATTAAACTGGTAGTTTCACTGCCATGCCATTCTCTACTTCTGAGGCTTCCAAGAGCTTTTGAGCTGAGCAGGGAGGTTTTTTGGTGCACATTCTCTTCCTCAGTTCCTGCTGCAAAGACAAAAAGGTTGCACATAAGCACTTGTTGGAGAAAATGTTTGTTTGTACTGCAGTGACACAATTGGATTTACTTTTTGTTTCTCTTCAGGTTTTATCTAATTTTGTACTTCTATGGTTCTCCACTCTACTTACAGTCTCATTTACCCGACTTGTGCATTTTGCGTTCAGATGATGGTTTGATGAATATCCAAACTTATATGATTTATATTCAATTACAAGAGACAGGTAGTTTTAGGCTTCTTTCAAAAGGAAATTAAAGAGTGAAAAATAACTCAGAGTAAGTTTGAAAGAAGGAGCAAATTTGGAAGAAGGAGAGATTACTCTGGGTGTGTGAGATTTGCTTAATACATTGTTTAGCAGTTTTTGCTATCTTTTCTTGTAGAGATTATTTTAAATTAATTTCTTCTAATAGAAAATAAAATTGCAGTGCTGGAAAAGATGCATGCACATTTTAATTAAAACATTAGACATGGCTGAATAATTTAAGAGATTTTGAGAGCGAAGAACCTAACTCTCTCTCTTATACATGTAGAAGGGGAGATATGAGATGCAAGAATCACTTCATATGAAATCCCAAGTACCTACTTAAGCTCTGAACAATAACAAATATATATATAATACCTATATGTTTTTCAGGCAGTAAGTCCTACTTTTACAGCTTAATCTCTCATTCTTAATCCCCCTTACTTTTTCCTAAGTGCTATAGTTAATTTCCTGACACATTGAACAACTTTTTATCATTGCCCTATGAATTCAATTTTGTATGGTAAATCCAAGAGAAAAATATTTTCCACTATAATATCTTCAGTGTTTCTCCCTACTCTATGAGAACTAGTCATGTTCTGTTCTATGGTTTTATCCATAGGAGAAGTGGGGAACAGGGATGTGTTGATACTGAGGACCTATAGTCAACAATATGTTCAGGAATCGAGGTATTGGTACACTCCTGGGTCCACAATCACTCTGAGTTTACCAAGGCTGTTTTTCTCCCCGTAGAAATGATGGTTCTCACTTCTGTGTTTATGTTACGAATTAGAAACAAAAATGTTTAGACCTGGAATGCTAGGTTTGATTTTATTTTGTGGGTGTCCATTTTTACCTCTGCTACCTATCATTTTCTCCAAACTTTATCGGCTACTGGTCTGCCTTCCTTTCAGGAGAACATGTCAGCCATTAGCAAGTGTTTCAGTGCTGCTCTATGCTTGCTTTTCATCTGCATGGTGAAGTATATACATTCTTCCAACACCTTTAATGGGAGAGTCCAGAATATATCTCCATGATTCAATCTGCAAGTAATTCTTGCTCTTGATGTTTGTTCCTAATGCTGATTCTTCTGATAACTCAACCTAGAGAGTAGGATGATCATTTGCTTTTTATTTCAGGGATAATTTGCTGTACTAGTAAGTAAACATTTGATTGCATTGACCATGCCTGTAAAATAATCTACTGACACAACTATTTTCTGAAAGTATTTGAATTACATATTCATACAGGTCAGAATTTGAAATATTTTCCTTTTTCCCACTTAGATGATTGACTTTTCTTAATCATTTTCTTTATTTCATTCTAAACTGAGCAACCTATTGCTCTGTTCAAAATATGAAAACTGTACTTTTAGGCACTATAGGCAGATTTCAGCATATGCAAACTCCCAGATAACTTTAGCAATGGGACTCTGTCTAAATACCTAGTCTTGCCCTTGGAGAATACTTAAGGAAAAAGCATTCTGCAAAACTAACCCCCGATTTCTTAATAGATGATTTTTACTCTATTTTTTAATAAAAGACATCTTAAAAATTAATTATCTAGCAGTGTGTTTAAAGTATTTTTTCTTTTTTATTTCTTTTTAATCAAAGTTTTCATCTTGCTTTATTGATTAGAGAGGTATTACACCAACAGGAATTACTTTCATTTAAAACATTCATAGCATAGGACCTGAGCAATTATTCAGGGCAACAATATATAAATCTGGGTAAAAAATGTACGGTAGTATTCACTGTTTTAAGTCCCAGTGATTGCCCTAAAAAAAGCTATACAAAAAAGACAATGACAACACCTGGTCCAAGTTCTAGTCCAACTTCCACTGGAATTAATGAAGTTTATATCAACTTTAACAGCGAAAGAGGTCTGTTTATCCAGTTTTAGCAACTAAGTCCCTTTCTAGGATCACTGAGTTCCATTCCTTTCCTTTGCATCCCACCTTGCATTGACAAAAGAGGACATGGAGGTATAACTGACCTAATAGGCAGTGAACGATTAACAGCAGTGTTTTCCTACAAAGAAATTCACAGCTCCCTGAAGGAGATACAAATCCATTGAATTACACAGAACTCTGACAAATTAAAACTCGGCTCTAGTTTCACTAAAACCAAATTTTTCCTCTATCTTAAATGGAAGCTGATCCAGAGCTTAAAAGTATGAACTGTAAATGTTGTTATCTGCTTGTGAATGCTTCCAACTGTTCTTTTAATCAACTCACGTCACAGACAAAAACAATTAGCAGTCAAGTTAGTTTAACAGGCTTATTTCCATTTTCCAAGCAAAGGATTAGTGCATCTTGTTCAGCATTTCAGATTTATAGCCAGTTTTAGCATTGTGATCTTACTCATTTGTTCCGTTAATCTGTCTAAGGACAGATATAGGAAAATGTAAAGGAGGATCAAGCTGTGTTGTAATTGGAAGCCCCAGTTAACAGGCTTGGAGAGAGATCCAAACCCATTTTCTCTGTCTCTGGATCTAGAGTAGAAAACTGTTATGACCATTTTCCACAACTGCTTAAACTTCTAATAACAATTAAGCCCTAAACTATCCTCAAACATGACTGTGTAAGTCTTATGGGTACAACTGAGAGTAATTTATGTTAATGAATCATCATTCAAAATGAAGTACATGCTGACTGGAGATGCTGATATCCATTATCCAGAATTATTAGATACATCTGTGATTCGAAGACATTCCTAAGTTTAAGTTTAGTATTTTTAAATAGACCTGAATGATTTTTTGCTTGTTCATTTTAACAAATGAGCCTTGTATGTTCTCAAGTGCATTTACATTATGTTTGGCAGATGCAAAAGTGAAATATGGTTCCTCTGGAAGATTCGTTGACAGCAAGCAGGGCATATGGTTAGCAGGGAAACGGAGCATTCACTAGTCAGATGCTTGGATGACCTGCATAATAGGTAGATCACTGAGCATATGAATCGTATCAGAAAAAATAACTGATAAGTATTATAGCACTATGAAGGAAAATTCCAAATGTATTCGGATCAATAATAAATACTACATAAAATTTAAGTTGCAGGATTCAGTGGCATGGAAGTTACTTCACAGATCTTGATACATGACTGGAAATCAATGACTGCTTCAACAAAGTCTGTGTATGTAAGAAAAAATTTTTCGAGCAGTCAGAGAGGATTAAAACGTAAATGATAAATTTTCATATGTATTATATACGCTGGTTTTTGGAGTTGGAAATGTTCATACATGACCTAAACTTAAAACCTTATAACCTAGTTCAACAATTCCTGTTAGCCTTGTCTTACATGAACACTTTTTTTTCTCCCCATTGTAAAAGTCACCCACCAAAAATCTCAGGTTTACAAAAAATTTGATTAGTTTATAACTGCATATTTTACCATTAGAAAAAAGTAGATATTTCCATTTGCTTTAAAGAATTTCTGACGGTTTTCAAGCTATATACCTCCAAATATTTTCATTGTAAAAAATAATCATGTCCAACTCTATGTGCTATATAAATAACATATACAATATATATAAATAATTTATACTGTCATAAAAATAACTTATAACACTATCTGATATATAACTTATAACACTATCTGATATATCAATACAGGCTTGGGGATATATAGATTGAGAGCAGCCCTGCCGAGAGGGACTTGGGGGTGCTGGTGGATAAGAGGTTGGACATAAACCAGCAATGTGCACTTGCAGCTGAGGAAGCCAGTTGTATTCTGAGCTGCATCAAAAGCAATGTGGTCATCAGGTTAAGGGAGGTGATTCTGCCTCTCTACGCTGCTCTCAAGAGACCCTCCCTAGAGTGCTGTATCCGGCTCTGGAGTCCCCAACAGAGGAAGGACATGAACCTGTAGAGGTGAGTTGAGAGGATGGCCACCAAGGCAATTAGCGGGACAGAGCAGTTCTCCTATGAGGAAAGGCTAAGAGAATTGAGGCTGCTCAGCCTGGAAAAGAGAAGGCTTTGGGGTGACCTAATTGTGGCTTTCAAGTACCTGAAAGGAGCCTACAAGAAAGGTGGAGAGGGACTTTTTACAAAACATGTAGTGACAGGACAAAGAGGAATAACTTCAAACTGAGAGTAGGTTTAGATTAGATATTGGGAAAAAATTCTTTACTCTGAGGATACGTTGTGGATGCCCTGTCCCTGAGAATGTTTAAGATTGGGTTGAATGGAGCTCTGAGCAACCTGGTCTAGTGGAAGTTGACCCCACCCACTGCAAAGGGTTTGAAATTAGATGATCTTTAAGGTTCCTTTCAACCCAGGCCACTCTGTGATTCTATTGTTACCCATCTCTGAGCTGAAGAAGAAAAGACAGCTTATACACAATATGCTATTCACAAACCAATAAAAAAGATCCAGGGCAAGTTCTTTTTCATTTACAAAAAGTGCTCTGGGCGCTTTACTGTCCAGGCAGATCCAGGGCCCTGGCATGTTTAAGCCTCCAGAAAGTCATTACACTTCTCAATCTAACTCTCTGTGTCATGATCTATTCTACTATACCACCTTGGTCTTCTGGGAGCAGAAGGTAACGTTTTCAAAAGCATTGGTGAACACTTTTCAGGAGAGGCTGTCAAAACACTGAAGGGAAGTTTCCTATTAAATGCATAAGCAAAAGGGTGAAATACTCAGGTGTATTGATTAGTTGCAAAGCCAGTACGAAAAAGGGTGTATTTTTTTAAAATGTCTATTTCCTTTTCACAAGTAATCTTTAATCTTACCTCATAAAACCAATAGTCTTTAATAGCTAAAGTAAGGCTGGCTATGTGTTACAAAGAACCTATTAGGAAATCTAGTCTGCTCTTTCAATCAGGTCTTTCAATCAAGTTCAGGGTTTTTAAAGCATACTACCAAGGTATAGCTAAAATTACCATAAATTATCTATGTTAATAGCTCATGTAAGATTCCTATTAAAGCTTTCACTTAAATGGAGATTGAACTAAGAACTGAAGTACAGCGTATTCATGCAGAAAAACTCTGTGTATTGAGTAGTTATGCAAAACAAATTAATATCAATTTCCTGTTTCATGTTTTGTTACCTATAGCTAAAGCCATCAAATAATGCATGGTGAGCAATAAAGGAGATAATATTACATATCTGAATAGCAACATCAATCTTGAAGAATGATGACCATCAGTAACTATATCTTTATATGTAGATTTCGGCTCTAATATATAATAATTCAGTGACTGGATGTTGGAAGCCAAGATGGAGAAAGTATGCAGCATAACAGCAGACTGACGACCATGACTTCTAGGTTTTTTTCACAACAAAATCCTCAGTATCAAAGTTCACTGAGACCAATTTTCTTTCCAAATGCTTTATACCCTGTAAAAGATTTTTTTAATTCTTTGTTGAGTCTGAGGTGGAGATAAGTTTCATTTGCTGCACAGATGCCATACTAAATGGTTGATTCCACAATTAAAAAAAAAAAAAAAAGCAAGGAATAAGATCCTTACTATTAGGCCAGAAAGCATTTTACAACCAGTCTGTTATCTCAGAGGCCAGTTCTAACAATGACTGTGTACCCTGGAGCCCTGTAGGAGGGTTCACAGGATGGGCCTGAGTATTTGACAGCTTGATCCTTAGACCTGATTTTTTTTTATATCCTTCATATGGAAAAAGCTAAATTTTATGCCAAAATCCGTGTTTCCAAGACAGCAGATCTTACTTTGCTCCATTCCCCCAAAACATACCTCCCTTATATGGCTGAATTCATATCAGCCAGTCACCTCATAAGATAACAGAGACCACCACAAAGTGAACCCTTTCTTGGCACTAAATAGCTCTATGTCCTCAGCTTAAGACAAAAAAACCCAATCTGTTTTGATCCCAGAAATAGAAGTTCAGCAAACCTAGCCTATCAGGCTAAAGGAGCGAGCCAAACTCACGTCACAGCAATAATCCTTTTCAGGTGCTGCTGGTTAAACTGTCAGGCATACTGATTTTTCCTGACATTTTCTCAGCATTTCAGCTGAGACTGCTTTTTCAGCCAATGCCATTTATTACCCTGTTAAAAGCTGAATGCTATAATCAAGCAAAAGGAACCTCTCCTTTTTTATCAGAGGTGAAGCTTGTTTCTCCTCATGTCGTTAATTATCAGCACAGGTTTCACAGAACATCTTGCATGATAAGGGCCTTAATCATTAATTTCAAAGCCACACATTAAAAAGTGAAGAATTCTAAGTCATATGTGGATGGTCTGAGTGCATTTTCTGAACCACACTTATGTTATCACAAAGGACTAAAAGGATTTTCATAAGCTAAAATAAATTTTTCTTTTCCTACTTGTACCAGGTTTATATTCCCAGGGGTGAAGAAGTCTTGGTGATAAAGGCAGCATGCTAATGGGCTTCTTCTAGTTAGCATGGACTATAGCCTGAGTATATTAATTAGTTTAGAGATGCTATTTGGCAGAAAAGTTCCTGAAAGCTGTTGAGAAAATAGGAAAAAGAGGCGTGATAACTTCTGGTTAGTAATTCCCTATTAACCAACACATTCTTCAGAGTATTAGGGTAAGTGTTGGCAGCATCTCTTTGTATTGCTTCACTTCCATGCCTTTAGGAAGTGAAATGTAGATATTAATCTAAAACCCTCAGTGATGTATCATAGATCATATGTACCAGGCAGCACTTATACATTGGTAAATTCCTCTGACAGTGCTGTTTTTCTTACTTGCCAGCCAAAGGGCTGCTTGACACTGACTTTTATTAAAACACTATATAAAAACTTTAAGTATATTCCTTCACCTAGTCCTTCTGCACCAAACACTTGTTTTATAAAGGTGTATAGTTTTAAGAAGAATCTCTTCAAGTGCAGTGTGGTCAGCTGCTACAAATAAATTAGGAAAAAAAAATCAGGAGCATAGGACACCCCTCTAAAGGTTCTGACCTGGATACTCCCTGGGAAAAAAAAAAAAAAAAGGCAAGACAGTGACTTTATTTTCTACTCAGCACAGACCAAAGTCTACTGCTTTCTCTCTGCATTCACTGGTGTTTGGGTGCTTTATCATTACTATAGTCGATCACCATTAGTCAATGTCATGCTCAGGAGCTACACCACAAACAAGGGGAAAGATGTTCATGAGACTATCTCCCTTCAACTCACGCATCTCTACATATAGATGTGCTACTCATTGCCAAGGCACACTTCCCTTAATTTTTATTTTTATATAATCAGATATTAATCCATTTTTTGGCTGTCAGAAGAACATAAATTGACACTTTTATTCTATGACTCTCAATCTCTAAACATACCCATGTCTCACACAACACAAAAAGCACAACAGGAAAACACCATAAAGTATTTTAGACCTAAATAGTTATTTTGGAAAATTGATTTTCCTAGTTGATTGGATCACTTCTCATTACTCTTGCGAAAGTGTTTTATTACAATTTGGTATGAGAAATTAAAAACTTACGTAATTTCCATATGTCTTGTACTTTTGTATGTTTCTGTTATTTGCATGCTAAAATACATTAATACAGTGCTGTTGGTAGTCAAAATTATCAGGAAACTCTTTTGAAATATGAGATTCTCTCATTAAAATATTATGGTGCTATCTTAAAGCAGATGTAAGTTATGGCAAGAATATGGAGATTAGAGGGTTGATGTGAGCTAACCTATTTCATATAAGCAGATTAACTAGCAGAGAAAGAAACCAAAAATACATGCAGCATTGATATCAAAACACTAAAAATATTAATATTCTAATTTCTCCTTTAAATAATAGCTTTTCTGATGCTTTAACATGTAGAACCTTCTATTGAATGGCAAGGTTTGGGAGGGGGAAGAGGGTACAGGGGTGACTTCCGTGAGAAGCTGCCAGAAGCTTCCCCCATGTCTGACAGAACCAATGCCAGCTGGCTCCAAGATGGACCTGCCACACGTCAAGGCCGAGCTCATCAGCAATGGCCTTGTAGTCCCTCTGGAATAATAGATTTAAGAAAAAAAAAACCACAGCCAAAAACACTGGGTAGCTGTAGCCAGAGAGGAGTGAGATTATGTGAGAGAAACCCCCCTGCAGACACCAAGGTCAGTGAAGAAGGAGCAGGAGGCAGTGCTCCAAGTGCCAGAGCTGAGATTCCCTTGCAACGAGTGGTGAACACCATGGTGAGGGCAGGCTGTCCCCCTGCAGCCCATGGAGGTCCACAGTGGAGCAGAGATCCATCTGCAGCCCATGAAGCAGCTGGATGCCCAAAGGAGGCTGTGACCCTGTGGGAAGCCCATGCTGGAGCAGCTCCTGGCACCTGGACCCATGGAGAGAGAAGGCCACGCTGAAGCAGGTTTTCTGGAAGAACTATGACCCTGTGGAAGGGACTCATGCTGGAGCAGTTCATGAAGAATTGCAGCCCGTGGAAAGGACTCACATTGGAGATGCTCATAAAGGACTGTCTCCTGCAGGAGAGACTTAGGCAGGAGCAGGGCAAGAGTGTGTGGAGTCCTCCCCATGAGGAGAAAGGAGCAGCAGAGACAATGTGTGGGACTGACTGTAGTCACCATTCTCCATGCCCCTGTGCTGCTCTGCAGAGAAGTTAAAGAAATTAAGGAGTGAAGTTGAGCCCAGGAAGAAGGGAGGGACAGGGTGAGATGTTTTAAAATTTAATATTTATTTTCTCATTGCCCTACTCTGGTTTCATTGGTAATAAATTAATTTCCTGAAGGTAAGTCTGTTTTGCCCATGATGATAATTGCTGAATGATCTCTCCTTGCCCTTATCTTGACCCACAGGGCTTTGGCTGTATTTTGTCTCCCCATTCAGCTGAGAAGGGGAGTGACAGAACAGCTTTGGTGGGCACCTGATGTCCAGGGTCAATCCACTACAAACCTTATGCCAATAGCAGCAGGCACTGGTGACTCTAATGTTTATCAGCTGATGGGGCTCTCAACAGAAAATTTATTAGCAGACTTTTGTGTGTATTTGTATGTTTGCATGTATGCACAGATAATGCAATGGAGCTCAAAATTTAGCTGTGATATTCTGGAAAACAGGAAAAAACCAAACAGGTCATTAATCTGTAAAACATTTCATGATTTTTTTTGATCTATGTTGAAACATATACTCCTATACTCCTTTTTTTTTCCCCTCCTCCTCACCTTCATTAGCCATGCAGGAGGGGCTAAAAGGGTTAAAACCTAACACCATTCCCTTTGGGCAACAGAGAAACGGTTTAGCTAAAGAAAATTACAATTTATAATGCTTTGAGATTTCCAGATTGCCTGCAAATGCATTTTGCTGCAGAACTTATCAAAAATCTCAAGAATTTCAATACTCGTAAGCTGGGTAGGCAAGAGGAGGGTGGTCTGGCAGGAGGAGGCTTACCCAGGTAGCCCAGTGAAGCATGATGTATTATACTGCACTCTGTAGATCCTGTTCCTGGAAGAGGGTTAGGTATTACTCCTTGTAGGTCTCAGACTAGTGGAAGCTATATTTTTTGAAAGGGGAGATTAACACAGGACTTTGTGTTGTGTGTGTGTCAGCTTGATGTGAGGTTTTTTGATGTTTCTGGAGTCTTTTTAAAGTTCCTCTGTCAGGCATTTTGGATACTAAAATAAATATCCAAAGAAGGTGGTCTAGTGGTGAAAGAACAAATAGTAAGGAGATGTGCATGAGAAAGAAAAATGGCAGTCTTTGTCATGTATCACACAAAGTGCTAGAAAAAAGGTGTAAAAATGGGTTTCAAAAGTCTGCTAATTTGAAATATTCTACCTCTGGTGGATTTTTCCTATAGCAAGATTTTTTTTTTAATGAATTCTTAAGTAATTTTACATATTTTAAGTGGATCTACTCTAAGTGTATTTTTTCCAAGCTTTCCCTTAAACATGTTTATTCATATGTAATAAATGTAAGAATTTCTTAGAAAATGAATAAAAATGATGAGACATTTTAGCAATAATCTACTTTTTCCAGAAATTGCAAATATGGAATCAGAAGTAGAAAACACTCTAATCTCTGTAACTCTTTGACACAAAGTGGACATTGGACATCATTATTTATTGTCTCTATCGTAGTCTAGTCCTTCACAACATTAGAAGACATTTAATTTATTACTGACTCATTCAAGCTTTTAGGTTGTTCTTTTGTATTCTTTAGAGAAAAGATGCTACTGAATACACATAATCAAATTACTGTGCATTTTTTTGGATACCTTTGCATTTTGCTGAACCCAGAAAATAAATTACTGGAAATACTCTATGCTAATGCCTGCTAAAGCAACAGCATCACAGATCTAGTCTTTATTATTTGCGTAAGCATTTGGTTCTTAAGTATTCAAACTTCAATGCTGAAAAAGCTTGCAAAAAATTACATTTACATAGAAAGGTGAAGTGGTATAAGTGTTTTCTTTTGTCTGTTAGTACTATGATGCATGA